CAAAATATTTTCGAAGAAACTTATTTTATTTATGTTAAAATGTTTGGGATGTCATCGTCAATACAGAAACATAAGCATAAACAGAACTTACAATTATTTACACTAGTGATCTACATCTCTTTAAATCTCTCAGTGTATTGTGACTTCATATCAACACCTGTGATAAAAATAAACTGAGTGGGTCAGGTTGGGAAACCTGGTGAGCACATAGGGTTTTCAACCCACAATAATATAATTATTATTTTTAAACATTAAACAATCAACCCAATTACCCATTCCCGTTATCCTCACATTACGTCCCTAAAACATTTAACACAAGGTACCTAGTCAAAGGACTATCATTGGGATGGAGTATACCTGGTGAGCACACAGTTCGAATAAACACATAGTTCGAACAAACACACAGTTTGGTTAAACACATAGTTCGAATAAACACCTACAGGTTGCGAGCCTGCTAGTGTTCCACTGGACTGTCTAGAATAGTCCGTGGTCGTCATCTATACTCCGCTAGATGACTAGATCATCAACATCTATAACGAGGCATCTCATTATTTCATTTTATCACACAGCAACTAATACATCTACCCATGTTTTACCCAACACATTTTGTAGATATAAAATACATATACAGTTTAAATCATTGAAAACATGTATAAAACGTTCATCCAGCATAGATAGCAAGTATACAGATAATATACACACACAGCACGTAATTTATATAAAATACTTCATATCTATGTGTAAGCTAAAAGTAACTATGCACTCACCTAAGTAGGTGGTGACTCAGCACTCGGACAGCGCTTCGATACTCTCAAAACGATATTCCTTCGATAAAACCTAGTACCGATACCACTAGGGTTTAGTTTAACGATAACCGCGACAAATTAATAGTTTGACTATTATTATTATTATATAAGCGTTAAATAACACTCAATATAACTCATAATAATAGCCCAAATAATTATTTTCAGGTCCTAATAATGTTACTATAATTAATTAGAAGCTATATTAAAACTAGCGTAGGCGTAGCTCACTTACAGCGGGTTTTTCGCAAAACCGGGCTTCACTGCAGCAGCGTTTCCCGAGCCAAAAGGCTCTTTTCTCGGAACTCCGGAGCCTCGGGGGTTCCTTCGGGTGCTAGGGGGTTTACCTAGGCTTTAGGGGGCTTAAGGAGGCTTAGAGAGAGAGTTTAGAGAGAGAAAGAAGATGGGTGAGGGGTGAGGAAATGAGGGAACCCGGCACCTCTATTTATAGGGGAAAAATCTGATGGACTCACCGAGTCTGAGTCATGACTCGCCGAGTTGGTGCATGTGGCACCCTTCTGGTGGTGCCACGTGTCCAATTCTGGTGGTGCCACGTCACCCCCTATCGCGTATCAACCTTCAAACTTAGAAAAATCATAACTTTCGCATACGAGCTCCGTTTTTGACGTTCTTTATAGCCACGCATAGGTAAAATCAAGAGCTACAACTTTCGTTTAGACTCCGTCGGCTAATTCTCGACCGATCTCAAATTTAACAATAGGAGGCGTTTAGACTGTTAAATGACCGTGAAGAATTCATAACTCCTTCATACCGACTCCGTTTTCGTCTGTCTTTTTACCGTTGAGTTCCTATTAATGAGATCTTCAACTCTCATTTAGGTCGCGTAAGCCAAAAACCGCTCGAACTAAAATTCGAGTTTCGGGTCGTGCACTGTTAAGCCGAATCTTAGAAAAATCATAACTTCCTCATACGAAGTCATATTTGGGCGTTCTTTTTATCGATGCTCTTAGTTTAACATATTCTACGACTTTTGTTTAGATTGCTAAGGATAAATCTCTCTCTATCGTAAATTCACTATTTACGCTTCCCGGTGCCGTGCCGGTTTTGCCGTAAAACTTCGACGGGCCATAACTTCTTCGTTATAACTCGGATTTCAGCGTTCTTTATATGTACGGAAACCTTGTAATATATTTCACAACTTGGTTAAGATTATATATTCTAAATAATCTTTTGTTGAAAAGTCATTTTCGACCCCTATTGCCTCTAAATTGACTAGCCCGGATCTGCGGGCGTTACATAATGGATGCGTCATTTGACTAGGTCAAAGTTCGACAATAGCTTTTGAGAGCTACGATTGCTAGTTGGGATCTAGGATTCGTACTTGCAATAATAGTTATTAAAGTTATCCAAGTGGGAGACTGTTGGATAAGCTGTCTAAGCTCATAACTATAATTGGTGTGTACTCGACCTAAGAGTAGCATGGTCCATTTGGGTTGCCTTCACCAGAACAATCTGATAGGATGGATATTTGAGAAAGAGGCTATTTATGATTTACTAATATACTATAGCTATAATATATTAACTGAAAACTCATAATATTTAATTAGTATTGATCAAGAATTAATTTGGAATTAATTTAGTGATCAAAAGAGACTAATTAAATTAATAGGGACTGATTATGTAAATCAGTGATATATATTGTTTGGGCTATTGATTAATGATGGGCTAATTTTATGTAAGTATCCATGAATAGTTAGCCCACATGAGATATGGATCATAACCCAAGTATGGATTAGGGTTCACCCATGACTCTTGGAATCCTACAATATATATATATATATATATATATATATATATATATATATATATATATATATATATATATATTATTCCTTAGACAAAATCGACCCCAGTGAGTTCACCCTAGCCGATTTTGGTGGTGGAGCCTCTCTCTCAAATTCATCCTTTATTCACGGTGTTTGTGACCCATTTGAGGCATCACACTTGAGGTGATAAGCTCTTGAAAGGCCAAAACTACAAGCTACAATAAAGAGGTATTCTTCTAATTTGATTTTATGATTAATGTACCAAAATTGTATGCTAGTTGTAGGCTTCAAGGTTTGAAAATTTTATTGCATCTATAATTAGAGAAAACATAGATCCAAAGCTATTAGGGTTTCATGTGCACCATAGGAGTGTTATAGTGCTTAAAACCCAACAAAAGTGTCATGGAATAGAACTCTACTCTCCCTTCCTAACTTACACATATTCTCTAACTGACACTGCCCACTACCAAAATTACTTAAACTAGGCATCTATAATAAGTCTTATCTTACCACTACGCAAGACTATGGATCTTATAATCAACTTTACTACATACTCTTATTTAGACAACACTATTTTGTCCTAGAGT